TAAAAAAAGTGTATAAGTGCTAAGCTAAAAACTTTATGTATAACTAAATTACTTATATTATAAAAATAAAGTTTTTACTATGCTTTAAAGTAGCTTATAATACTATAATTACTTTTAGTAATATTTAAAAAAAGTTTTAAAGCGCTAGATTAGTTTCTTTTAACTTATAATAAGTTATAATAAGCTTTAATATAAAGTTATAACGTACTTTATAGGCAAGTTGCTTACACACCTAAGTCACTTACTTTTGCTAAGACCCCACCACACTACTTTTCCTACACTAATGCATTTCTAACAACACTACTTAAACACGTTAAAGGAACATTAGATGCAGCTTATGCTTTAAGCTTTTAAATAAGATATAACACTTTTTAACTAACGCGCTGCAGCTATCTATAAAGTCTTTTAAAAGATAATAAGCAACTAACACGCTAGATAACCTTTTTAAGCTAATTATACAGCTAACTTATAAAAGCTAGATAATAATAAAAAGCAGGTAATTATTTAGCACATACTTAAGCTAAATGCGCAAGGATTTCCCCCCTAGCTAGCAGCTATAGCTAATATAGCTAATTCTTTACACGCTAAGCGTAATATAGGCTATATTAGCATAAACTAGCTTAATATGTTTATTAAGTGTTACCTAGAGCTTAAAGTAAAGTTTAAGTGTAAGTATAACTATAAAAAAGCTTTTTATAAAAATTCTATAGTAATTTAAGGCTAGTTTAACTTTATAAAGAATATTAAAGCTAAGTATAGCATCTAGAATAATAACATGTACAACTTTAATAAGACAGGGTTTATAATAGGCTAGATATCTACTAAAGCAGTTATTACAGGTTTAGAGAGACAAGGACAGCTAAAAGCAGTCTATCTAGGCAACTAGGAGTAGACAACAGCTATCTAAGGCATTAATGCTAAAGGGTAGGCTATTCTGCCTTTTATTATCTTTTAAAGTAGCAACTACTTTTTAAACTAGTATAAAAAAGAAAATCTACTCTAAGATTAAGTTATTATAATCTTTAAGCATAGCTAGACTACTAATTAGCTTAGTCTAGACTAGTTAAAGCACTTTAACGTATATATAAAGAAGTGTACTGTTAGTAGCTACTGTTTACTAGTTATTAACAGCTATAAGAGCTATAACTTACTTTATTTTTAGTAATACTATAAAAATAATAAGATTATTACTATCTATATGCCTTTTTACTTATTACACTTTTTATAGCTACTTAATGTAGGTTGTTTTGCTCCTTTAAAAAAGGTATATAGGCGCTAAGCTAAAAACCTTATGCATAACTAGATTACTTATATTATAAAAATAAAGTTTCTACTATGCTTTAAAGCAGCTTATAATGCTATAATTACTTTTAGTAATATCTAAAAAGGGTTTTAAGGCGCTAGATTAGTTCCTTTTAACTTATAATAAGTTATAATAGGCTTTAATATAAAGTTGCGCACTTTATTACTACTACTACCTATATATAACAAGCCTTAGCAGTTGTAAACCCTAAGCAATACTCTAAAACTTAAGTTATAATTAATGCTTATAAAGATAAAAATTTAGAAGTATATAAATAGTTTACTAACTTCTATAGTTAAAGTGTTTAAGAAAGTTTTAAAAGAGGCAGTAATAATTACACATAAGCTAGTGTTAGTGTAATAAGAAATTACTAAGCTTTAAGCAGCTAATAAGGCTGCTATGTAATATAAATTGCATAAAAAAAAGTAAATTAAGGTAGAAAAGACCTTAATAATTTAGAAAAGCCTGCGCTTAACAGCTCTAAAGAAGTTTAAAGCGCGTAGTAACAGGAAGAAGGCAAAGAAGCAGGTGCAAGCTAAAGTAGGTAAGCTATCCTAAAGGCGCTGCAGATAGTGTAATTAGACTAGGCATAACACATAAACGTGTAAGCAAGAAGTAGAAGTAGTATCTAAATAATATTCTAGGCTGTACTATACTATATAGTGCTAGAGCAGGTTGTTATAGGCTATAATAGAGTTTGTTAGGGTGGGGTCTTGGCAAAAGTAAGCGACTTAGGTGTGTGAGCAACTCGCCTATGAAGTACGTTATACTTTATTACTACTACTACTTATATATAATAAGCTTTAGTAGTTATAAACTCTAAGTAATACTTTAAAACTTAAGTTATAATTAATGCTTATAAAAATAAAAATTTAAAAGTATATAAATAGTTTACTAACTTCTATAGTTAAAGTGTTTAAAAAGGTTTTAAAAAAGGTAGTAATAATTATATATAAGCTAGTATTAGCATAATAGAAAATTACTAAGCTTTAAGTAGCTAATAAAGCTACTATGCAACATAAATTATATAAAAGAAAGTAAATTAAAGTAAAAAAAACTTTAATAATTTAAAAAAGCCTACACTTAATAGCTTTAAAAGAGTTTAAAGTGCACAGTAATAAGAAGAAGGTAAAGAAGCAGGTGCAAGCTAAAGTAAGTAAGCTATCTTAAAGGCGCTACAGATAGTGCAATTAGACTAGGCATAACATGTAAATGTGTAAGCAAGAAGTAAAAGTAGTATCTAAATAATATTCTAGGCTGTACTATACTATATAGTGCTAGAGCAGGTTGTTATAGGCTATAATAGAGTTTGTTAGGGTGGGGTCTTGGCAAAAGTAAGCGACTTAGGTGTGTGAGCAACTCGCCCGTGAAGTACGTTATAGACAGTGTAATTAGACTAGGTATAATACGCAAATGTGTAAGCAAGAAGTAAAAGTAGTCTTTAAATAATATTCTAGGCTGTACTGTACTATATAGTGCTAGAGCAGGTTGCTATAGGCTATAATAGAGTTTGTTATAGTGTAGTCTTAGCAAAAGTAAGCGACGCAGGTGTGAGCAACTCGGCCGTGGTGTACGTTAGTGTATAGTAGAGAAAATATGTAATTGCCTTATTACCTAAAGGATAATAAACGTTCCTTAGAAAGCGGTACAGAGAAAGGGTTTCTAAGCCCCTAATTAGCTTATTGTGTTAGTGAAAGAACTAGTACGGGTCCCTCTCCTACTAGCAGGGGAATAGGGTCCTTAGGGGCTCTGAGTTTCTCTGCCCAGTTGACTAAGCACCTGAGATAATATAATACTATGGACAATATTTTCACTGTTCCTTTTTTTTTTTTGTTTAGCCAGCTGTTTCCTGCTCTATCGGATCAAAAAAAGAGCACATGCTTTTCTGCCTTCCTTGTCGACTAGGTACCTCTCGGATATCTTCACTTTACCACGTTGCATATCTCAAGCATGGGTTTGACCCAGGCGGATTCGTAATATCTCCCAGTTCGAACCTCACATCAGCACTACGGAATAAAGGTGCCCAATCCTTTGCATCGCGAGCTGTCGCGCTCTGGATCGCTTGTATAGCGAGATTAATGCACTGCACGAAGAAATTTAGTAGGAATCCTAGTATTCATAACAGTTGAAAGAAGCAATACCGCTGTGCCGTCTGCTTATACGGTGTCAAACCACTCGCCATCAGAAGAGGCCGTTCTAACACTAAAATCCGCGCCTCTTTCTTCAATCCGATGGTATTCCTCAGAATCCTAATTGCATACTGATCAGACTAATCATGAAGCATCTAACGAAGAAAATACACATCCACCCTTCGAGTGGCTCATGAAAGAAATCATGCACCATGAAAGTCAAACTCTCGCCCTTCTGTAGACCTTCCAGCGCTATTGATCATTTCAGGAAAGTCCTGCACGACACAACGAATTCCCAGTAGACCTCGTGCAATTTCTGCCACCACGGTTCCTCGTCCACCGCCATCATCTACCAATAAACCTTGAGCAGGAGCGCCCCATTCGGAGGTGTTGGTGCCATGTAGCATCCTATATACCGGCCACTAATGCAGGAATCTCATTGCTTTAGCCATACGTCTGGCTCACTCAGGATCGCTGCTTACAATCTCGAGCATAAGAACATACGTCTCATTTGCAATAGCGAAGCCAGTCTCGTTGGGTTCCTCGGATCTCGGCCACTTTTACATGGAATTGCTTAGCCTCGACCACTCTGGCTATATTTCATTGCCTACGAATCCGATGACCTGGGCAATTGGCGGGATTCGGTTACCGCCCTGGAGACAGCTGTGTGCATCACGATGCCTGGGGACGGCTCGTGGAAGATGCACTGTCTCATGGTGACGGGTTATATGGCGCATATCTGATTTGGAGAGTCAGTACGGGCAATGTGATCGAAAGTTGAGGTTTCCCCAGGTGAGAAGGCATTTAGCAATTCCCAAGCGCTCAATTGCTTGTAGGCTCGTCCAAGGGTTAAACTAAATATGATAGTCAATTTTATGACCAAAAGCACCAACAAAGCGATGGGGGTAAACCGGATACGTGACAGTAAGTAGTATTCCGACATGACCTAGCATGAGCGCAGTGGATTCATCTGTGGCCTCGAGAATGGGATTTTGTCAGTACTCGTTTTCTGATGGTACAGAACGCTTGGTGGATAGGATATATCGAAGGAGGGCGTTGGTAGAATGCGCGTCGTGAGGCAGTCATCAACTTGGAGAATGTTCCGTGCTATGATCTCGGGCCCCACTCAATGATTATAGCAGGAGACATCGCGAATTTTAGTGTGGTACCGCAATAATATGGTTTGTGATTCTCGGACGCAAGCAGTAGAACAATTAAGCCAGTCGACCGCTTACTCGTACAAGTTGCGCTTACCTAGGTACCTAATGTTTACTTGGTGAATCTGCGTGAGGCGCATGTCCAGGTGATGACATAAGAAATAATGATGTTTATTGGGAACACTCAGAAATGAAGAGACCTGGGGAATTGTCTTGACCTGAAGAATACGTGTTGGGTTAGAGGGAGAGAAGATGACAAAAACTCGCCAACATTAGACAGAATGAAACTACAGTATGTTGCTTAACTTTCATTCAATTATCTATCGAGCGTACCACATGTCATACGCCTGAACGATGTCGATTATTCAATGATCTTGATCTAGCCTGTCTCATTTGCTCATTTGATGGGAAACCATTGATCAAATACCCCAGATGGATCCCATTTCTGCTTTAATGTTTTCAACTTGGTCAGGCTTGATCCGAAGATTGCCTGTAGTGTTTCATCACCATGAGCAAAGTTAGCATATCTATTATACGTTAGCGGTCGAATCCATTGGTGGGCACGAGCGAAAATCACTTACGTGGGGTTGACTGTCGCATTCGCCGAGTAACTCCAGATATCCCGAACCTTCGAACCAAAAGTAATAGCATCGGCATCCAGAGCAGGATCCGTATACCAGGGAATCACAATCGCTTGCGCGAAAGCATCGCGCCGGAGGGCTTCCTGCATAGCCGACGAACCAATGGGGACAGACTGAGCCTTCGTTAGATTGTACCGCTCAATCAATACCGCGGAGTTCTCAGCACCCGACTTCTTCTGGAAATCAGTGTACAGGCTCCATATCTGAGGCCAGGTTTCCGCTTTCATCTTATTGATGGTGGTGCTAAAAGCAGGTTTCTGTCCGCCACGAGAGCAGAACCCATCATTTGCGGCGTTCCAGCTGAGATAGGGCGTGACAGCGCTTGAGTTAGTAAGTGGACCTAGAGCGTATAGAGGGGCGTAGGCAGCTCGTCCGGTTGCCTCGGTTCCCTTGCGGAGAAATCCAGTGACGAGTACCATAGGAGCATTGGATGGTGGGCCGGAATTAGTTAGGACCAAGTAGACAACTTGCTCTGGCTTGAGAGGCAGGTCCTGGATAGCTTGAGCGACTTGGGTGATCTTGGATGGATCGAAGGTGAGACTCATGATCCAGGCGGACCTGTCCTGGGAGGTGGCTGGGAAAGCCTTAACCGTTGCCGAAGTTACAATACCAAAGTTTGGTCCAGCGCCTCGGAGTGCCCAGAACAGGTCAGCATTGGAAGTACTAGACACTGTGAGGAGTTTGCCGGTTGCAGTCACGACTCGCATGGAGTTGACATTGTCAACGGCGAAGCCGTGTTCACCCATGATGTTGCCATACCCGCCACCGAGAAGAGCTCCAAGCGTACCGACGCAATTGCAGTTGCCAGTTTGAACCAGTACCCCAGCCGCATTTGCCGCGGAGATAGTGTCATTGATGATGGCACCTCCGCCAATTGTAGCCGACTGCTTATCGGCACTGATGGTGACTTTATTGAGGCCAGCCAAGTTGATGAGAACACCATCGGTACCGAGATCGAATTGTGTGGCCCATCCGTTACCCCCGTTCTGTGCTAAGAATGGGATTCCTGCCTTTGCACAATACTTGACCTAGTGGTAGGGGATATGTGAGCACGGCTTGCCCATACAGAAGGTCTAGGTAGCATTAGGATCAGAGTGACTTACGACTGCCGCTACATCGTTTTCATTGGCCGCGCTTACCACGACGGATGGAAGCGGTAGGTTGTAGTCGCTCCATCTTGCGCGAACCTCGATCGAGACAGACGAAGCTGAGACGAGCTTCTTGAGGTCCTCAGCAATAGCTGGAGCTCTAATAACGAGAGCCGATACCGTTGTGATCAAGAGCTGTACACCCAACAGTAACCTCATGGTGGAAAGGATGGAAGGAAGAGGCAGGTATGTGATGCCGAGAACAAGTTGCATGGTGTCCACGAGGCGGGTTAATAAAGTAACTTGAGATAGGGATGACAAGCAAGCAGCTCCTTGTTGCGCAGTGCCTAACGTGCATATACCAAGACATTGAAATTAAATTGTGGACGGCACAGTTGCTCTTCCCGGAGTGTCGGGATGAGAAAATCCAGGGTAACCCGGCCTGACTGGAGCTAAGCGGGCATGATGGCCAGAAGCAGTATCAGCCACTCTCGTGTGCGCAGATTCAAGGGACATCCTGCACTTTGGTGCCTATCCGAAAAGTCCGGAAAGAGGCCGCCTTCCTTTGACGTTGTTGAGTCGATATCCACTGCACCGTGGATATCTTGTAGGTTCGACCAGTAGTAAACCGAGCGGTTCAAAGATCTGCAATTGATCTGTTCTCGAACCACTTGTTTCGTCCCAAGGTGGACTAGGGTGATATTCTCTTATATGAATAAAATGGTTTCCACTCGCCAACATGACTCGCCATACGAATGAATCTACACAGTAGTGTTAGGCCCCTGAAACTCCTCCAAATGAAAGATATGAAATTCTTGGGAGGGTACCCATACGTATATTCTTGCTTCCGAGTTTCGTCCGCATGGAGAGCTTTGCCGCTTTGGATATGAACACCCTATAGAACTACGGACACAGTTCACTCGGATCGGATGAGAGTTCCATGGTGAGCTCCTGGCCCACAATTACATCGTGATTTGATAGACTGCTAGAACTACAATTTCTAATCGGCTGGAGTCGTGGAGAATTTGACCCAAGTCCCTCAAGTATTGACGTCTTAAGAGCTAGTACTCTTCCCTCTCAAACTAGTCATACTTGAGCCCTCAGAGGCCTCCGTAGTTTGATGTATAGTGACCTTTCTTATGATACCTCCTTCCGGTGACGTTGACGGAACTTGGCCGTGACTAGTCAATTCCAGCTCTTCGATCTCGTCGTACGCTTTGTGACTGAACTTAGGCCCCAGACTGCTTTTCTTCGTTCCCATAGGCCTTGAGGATCCGTAGCCGTAGCTCGACGTTGTTTCCCGGATGGGCTTTGGGAAGAAGCGCAGATAGATTGGCCGTAGTGTTGGGAGGCATGCGCATACCACGGCTAGGGATAGCTCGATGTTCGTCCAGAAGAAGACGGGTGCCGTGTAATCTGTGAAGGAAGGCCATACGATTAGATGGGGATTTCAAATTGAATGGGGAAGAGCCTTACAGATCACGTCGTTCGGATGCTTGATGTACTCGTTTGCGACAGCGTAAGTGGCGATTACTCTCGTAATACTGATAGCGCAGACGCTAGCCAGAGGTCAGCAATTGGCTAGATGTAAAACATTGCAGTTCATTACTCACGCTGCACCCAGCATCAGCATCGCGATCACGGCTAGTTTCTTCTTCAGTGGCAGTTGCACGCTTAGGACCATTGGGATTGGCAAAACTAGAATGACCAAATCCGCAATGACATCCGTGTAGAGGAGCGCAAAGAACATCGGAACCGTCTGGACACATTTGTTCCCGTAAAAAGGCTCGATGAAGACGGTGATTGGGTAGCAAGTGAAGAGGTGCGAGAAGAAGAAGCTAATCGTCCAGCAGATCACGAAGCCAAGCATGGCGTAGATGCACAGCTGGAACTTTCGCACTTTGAATATGTTGTTGTACAGTACCAAGATGGAGGATTTGACGAGTCCAAGGCCGAGGATTGAGATCATGTTGAGGGCGAACTTGGTCTGGGAGTGGTCAGCGGTCGCGTCAACTCGCGAATTACAGTGAGAGTGGGGATTACCTGCTCGAAGAATATTAATCCCGGATCGTCCATGATGGGGGATCCGTCGGGGTACTGAGGTTGATGCTGCCCTAGATGGCCATGGACAGCAGCTTTTGTGTTGTCAGAGTATTTCCATTTCCAGCACCAGAAGAGACTTACTGGCTAGCTGCAACGTGCAGCAAGTGATAGCTACCAGCTATGATATGTAAGTACATGTTTCATTCAGAAGTCTCTGCTCCATGGCTATACTCACCAGCGCACTCCCAGTCAAATAGTCGTCCCATGCGAATCGTTTGGCCATCAACATCTTCGCCCACAAGCGCAAACCAAAGAACACTGTGGGGATTATCATAAAACCCAAGGCCAGACCGATCATCTGGCCCTTTGTATAATCGTGGTTCATCGTCACCATGGCAGGCAGCCGTGGAGCAGAGGTGGATCTTTGGATCTACAAAAGCAACCCTTGAGACTGTCTCGTCTGATATGTATAGTTCCAGTGTGCGGGCGAAGGACGAAGAAGAACTCTTCCGACGATATCCCGGCACAATGGAACCCTCCGAGTGAGCCCTGCATGTGTTTGAGGATATGTAAGATTGATCGCAGAGCCTCGATCAAACAGAGGCTGCCTCATGAGCGCCTGGAAGCCTGTCCATGTTGTCGACCTTCTTTCCTTGGGTACCAAAAAGTAAAACTACCCATAGGGCACTTGCGATAGCTCTATAGCCAATGGAAAATGAGTTACACGTATATTAGCTTTCGCTGTCACTTCATCCCCTAATGTTGTCGAAGCATGTCACCATCGCTTTGACAATCCCACAAGATGTGAAACAGGGACGCGTTCACCGAAGACCCGAGACCAGGGACATCCCAGAAGTATTTCGGGAACCACTGCTAGAACTGTTCAACGTTCCGCATACTGGCTGGCCGAGGAAAGACTTCAGAACAACTTGGCGCACGGCTGCAGTTGGGCTTTTGTTCGAGGTCCAAGAAAGATTTGTCGCTTCCTAACCCATGTCAATCCCCCGCGTCGGGCGTTAATTTGGCAAGGGTTGAACGTTTGGGGCGGGTGAGGGAAACGTTCCCATAGGTCATTCGGCCCGATGCTTTGGATGTGGCGTATTGGCATTCACTTGGCGTCGGATGCGGGGTTGTGATGGGGAGGTAGAGGTCTGCAAGTAATTCGGCCTTTTCAACGGCAGCATACTCGCCCCACGAGCCAAGGTGAGGGGATCCTCACCTTGGTGCGTGCCTCACCTTGGCGCGTGGGGCGAGTGCAGGATAGTTTGGGAGGTAGTAGCTGATATGCTTCTCAAAAAGAGCGGGAAACTTTGATGAAATGTACCACACTTGTTGCTGTTACGAACGGTCTGTTTGGGCCACAGGGAAAACAGCCAAGGCTTGGAAGAAGGACGATATAGGTCACGTGACATGGTCGGATCAGGCGATGTGCTCGCTGCGCCAGTTTATCTCACGGGTCAGACGCTCCTCTGAGGTTTAACCGGACCAATCAAAGCGCTGTGGCTAGTGATGTCACGTTTTTGCAACCGTCTGCGGAGCGTCTGAGAAGAAATAGAGTAAATTTATATGTATCTCTGTTCAGCATTTAGCTTTTTTTAACATTTTCCTACCTACAACGCAATAAAATAGATATTTGTTAAATGTAATTAAAACTTAAGTAACTAAGCTATATAGTAGTCACATTTTAAGAGAGCTAAACTTATAATTTAGGGGTAAAGTACACTGCTAAAGCTAGTTTTAAGTTGCTTTGCACTAAATTACTCTCCCTTATGCAACTCAACCACCAGAGTGTAACGATTCTACAAATCGTTCCATCTTGGGTCGCTCGGATCCTATCCAAAGGGTCCCCGTATCGGCCCCGACCATGACTCGACCCAGACCCCTGCTGTTACCCCTATTCCCTCATGTATTTAGTCGCACCTCGCCCCTGTAGCTAGCTTAGTAGTTTTCTAATATCCTACGTACAAGGCCTATAGGTGTTATTAGTATTCCTAGGTCTCTAAGTCCCCACGCACTCCTATATGCCTCTAAGTAGATTTATACTGCATTTAGACCTATTGTCTTGCCTACACTGTTACATTATATTAGAAAACTTACTTTTGCTAGTAACAGCCTTATTAATAATATTATATTAATTATTTATTTAACTATGTCTAAGTTCTAAAAAGTGTCTAATTTAGTTTAGGTTATAATTTTTTACACACTATTATATTAAATTATTTAGTTAGTATAGACAGAATTTTAAAGACCTTTTATTAACTAAAGCCTTTAGGTTTAGAACTTCCTATCCCCTATAATTAAGATTACCTTTAGAAAAGTTATAAAGAGTGCGCTAAGGTAGAAACTTAAAGACTACTAATAACTTATTAAAATTAAAGACAACTACTAATGCCTAACTTTTAACTACTATTAGATTCTATTATAAAGACTGCAACCTATTCTAGCTACAGCTAAGGCAAGATGCCTACTTTTAAAACTAAACTACTACTAACTTTAACAGCTAAACTCTCTTTTATAGAACCTAAAGCTAAAAACCTACTAAATTTAAAGTTAAACTTTAGTAGTATAGCCCTTAAAAACTAAGTTACTTAATTAAAGGCATAAATTAAACAGCTAACTAGATTAAAAACTATTAGTTTTAATTATCTTTTACTAACTACTAAATTACTTTTAATAATACCTTAAATTACTTATGCTACACTAATAGTAAGAGACCTTTTAAGCACTTTTAAGCTTTTTTAAAGCTACTTTACTAAACACACGCCTAAGATTAAGAACTTTACAAATAGTAAAAAACTTATGTTTAAATAATAGTAAGCTTTTATTATAAATAGACTTAACATTAATTTAGATTACTATTAGAGTAAGCGTGCACACATAGCGTTAGTATAGAGACACACTGCTAGTATTGCAAAGGAATACCTAGAGCTTAGATACCTAGCTAAATTAGATAACTTTTAGTTTAAAAATATAAAAAAAATAATTAAGCTTTTATAAACTTACTTTATTACTAGTAATAAAAAGACAATGGTGTAACAAGCGTTTTAAACTTTAAAGATAAGTAAAAAAAAAGCATTTTCTACTTTTAAAGCTTACTTTATTAGTGCTGCTGTTAAAGGGTCTATATTAAAGTTAAAATAGTTCTTCTACTTATAAAAAAAGATACTGCTTAGCTTAAAAGTACTAAACTTAGGTTTTAAGCACACTTAAAAGGGCTTTTTTAAGACTATAGTAGCCTACCTAACAGCCTATAACATAGAAAGAAGGAATACCTCTACTATTTTAGAGTAAACTATTAATCTTACCTAACAGTCTACTATTAGACCTAGTATAGATTAGTCTTAGTGTCAGATTGAAGCACTGTTTCTGGGCTTCCTGAGATGAATGATGGGTTTGGATATGATGTATGGGATGATTGATTGATTGTATTGATTGTGTTGATTTATCGATCCTTTTTCTGCTCTACTCGTGTTGCTCGGCTTTTTGTTCTGCCGACCCGAGTCCCTCGCGCACTAGCCCTATGCGCGACCAGCTTGCAACATGCTGTAAAATGCTGCAATTTGCTGCAACATGCTGCAATTTGCTGCAACATGCTGCAAAATGCTGCAAAATGCAGCAATTTGCAGCAACATACTGTTCGAGCTTATTGCTCGTACTATGTAGCAGCTTTCGTCAAACGTTCCTCCTGTCTTGACAGTAGGTGCGCATATCTGACACTTAGAAGGTTTCTAGTAATACATCTAAGGCAGTATACTATTCTAGTGCACCCTAACCTGCACCTCTGTTAGTACTCTAGTCTACCTTAGTTACCTATAGACAATCTAGCTAGACACTTACCTTTAAAAGACAGACAACTCCTAGCAACTGTTATAATTATAGTAAACTAAAATATTTTACTAGCAATTATCCTATCTCTAGAGTATAAGAAATTAAGGTAGAGTAATAGAAATTTAAGAAAGAGTTTATAGATGTAAATAATTACAACCTAAATCCTCCTTAAATAAAAAATAAAAACGCCTAAAAAAACTCTTTATTCTAGGCTTAAGTAAGTATAATTTATTAAACATTAATCTATTACACTTATTTAAAGGAAAACACTTTTAAGTTTTTACTGTTTTATATTTAAAAAGCATTAAAGTCTATTTAAATCTTTTAGTTAATACTAGCACTTATAGTTTTTTATTTATTAACTTACTAACTACTAAGTTATTATTTTAATGCCTTTATGTTCTTATCTAACACTTACTATTTAAAGTTATAGTTAAGAGCTTTTAAGATTAGATCTAAGTTCTTGTCTACTAGTATATCTGCCTGCACATGTAAATTAATAGGAGAAGCATCTAAAACTGCTTTTTTATTATTATAAACCTTAGCTCCTAAGATTATATTATTAGCATTAAATAGTTATATTATTTTAAACTTTATTTAAATATAAAGAAAAATTAGATTATATAGCCTAGCAAATATCTGCCTACCTATAAACCTTTACTGCTCTTACTTATGCAATTAACCTAGCCTACACATAATAAAAAAGTAAAGCTAGATATTAAACAACATAACACACTATAGAAAAAGGACTAATTTTAGTAGTTATATAGCCTAACAATCTACTGCATTAAGGGTTTACTAAGGCTACTAAAATTATACAGATTTTTTATTATCTATAGTCTAAAGACACTTAAATTATTCTTTTACTTATCTATTAAGAAGTTTAGAACAGGTCTAAAGAAGGTCTATTTAACTACTATTACTCTAATTTTAGTAAATGCTTTTTATTTTAACATAAAAAAAAACAAGTTTTTTTTAACTTTTATTTATAAAATTAAGTAGTTAATTAAAGATAAGTAAGCTTTATAGTTAGACGCTAAATGTAAAACTAAAGTATTAGTAAACCTTTAATTACTTTCTAAATACTATTAGTACTAAGATGTATTTAGCTATATAGCAGCTTACTAGCTACTAGTACATTGTCTATATAACTACAAGATTGTTCTTATAGTGCCTCTCTTTAACAGTTACAGTCTGTTGTACAAACAGAACCTTAAGAAGCTAGAGGTAATAAAAAATATGTTATAAACAATCTAAAATATAGCTTTATTAAGTAAAGTTAAAGCCTTTTTACATTTCCTATTTTTTGTGTACAGAAACTAAATAGTAACTTATATATCTACATTAATTACTACAAACTTAACACTCTTACCTGTAAGAATGTGTATCTAATACTGTGCATAAACAAACTCCTGTTAAGACTTACTAAGGTAGTAATTTTTACTAAGTTTAATATTTACATAGCCTTTAATAAGATTAGAATAGATCTAAGCTCTAAAAAGTGTACTACCTTTTAGACATAATATAGAACCTATAAGTGTAAAGTTTTACTTTTTA